TTCTTCTTCTTCTTCTTCTTCTTCTAGAATTTGTCCCGAGAGTTGCGCATAACTTATTAAAAATTCAAAAATCAACGATACTTTTAATGGATATTCAATAGGCAGTAGATTTCTCCATTGATCACGTTGCGAAGCGAACTTAGAAAATTAATGTGCATGGAAAACGTGAAGTAAAAATTTTATAGACTATGGTGAACTAGGTGTGGTTTCAATCTCCCAAGATAATTGCAGCTGTTCAGTGAAGTCTACGACAAATAAATCACGTCAGTCAGGCTAGCAGTAATATTTTACAAAGATAATAGTTTATTCCTTGTAGACCAACATTTCAACATTTCATTGGTTTGGGTACCTTTTATTTTGAAATTTTTGGGACCTGGGTTCGAAGATGTGTGCAACCATATATCTGAAGGTTGCTTGACCCTGCTCAAAACACACCAGCTGCTGGAGATACTTGCCATTTTTTGGGGGGAGGGCTTAAACGCGATTTCCCATACCTTTGCGAAGATTTATGCGGACGCAAGCCATATTTTCAATAATAGGAGCAACTATGACTGCTGACTTGATACGTCTAACTCCGGCGGATTTTTACGCGAAAGTTATTACTTTATACGATTTCAGCCAAGTATTCCACAAGGCTGCCTGCGTTCCTTAATTCGTGCTGCCAAAGATATTTCCTGGAGTGTCGGCATGGCGATCGACTGGAAGTTTTCAATGATAAGGCTAATAATATTTTTGGAAGCGATTATTCATACGGTCCCCTAAACAGTACATGCGAATGGGAATCGTCCGCAATGCAGGTAACGTTTCGCAGGTTTAGGGTTAGGAGTAGGGTTAGTGTAAACTGTAGTGTTGAGGCTTATGATAAGGCTAGGATGGAGATTAGGACTGTGGATTAAATTTATGTTAGAGTTAGTGTTCGAATTAGGTCGCGTCCCTTGAACGGGCTGCGTTTTTAATGCGCTGGGCCAACAAGGGCGCTAGATCAGGAAACGGCAGGCGTTATCCGAGTTGTACTCCCATTACAAGTTCCGCACGTGGGGGTGGGCTCAGTGGCACGCGTGTGATTGGCTAAATAGGCGCAAAAAGCGAAGCTAAATATTACAGCCAATCAGCAGCAAGAGCCCCGTCGATCGGGGGCAGACCTGTTGTCCTCGTCCAATCCCACCTTTCAGCTTCTGTCGTCGCACAATCAATCCCTTTTGT